TGACGGGTGTCTTGGGGTCCCTACCCCAACCCACGACATTGGGGCTGAACCACAGGGGTGCACTCAGGGTGCAGGGATTTGGGTGAAACCAGTGGAGATCAGGGGATGGTGGTGGCATGTGGGTGGGCTGCAGGTGTGGGACCCCAGGATGGTTTGCCCTAAGGGGTGGGATGCTCCCGCACCAGCAGTCAGCCCCTGACCCTCTCCCAGCAGACACTGTAGACCTCACCTGGTGCGTCATCTCCGACATGGAAGTCATCGAGCTCAACAAGCGGACCTCAGGGCAGTCCTTCGAGGTCATCCTGAAGCCCCCGTCTTTCGACGGCATCCCCGAGTTCAACGCCTCCCTGCCCCGTCGGCGTGACCCGTCCCTGGAGGAGATCCAGAAGAAGCTGGAGGCGGCGGAAGAGAGGAGGAAGGTAGGTCCAGCAGCTCATGCACGGCATTGCAGCATGGGGGACGTGCCATGGGGACACACAACCTTGCACTTGGGGTGCTCAGCAAGGCACACCCACCTTTGGGGATGTTGCTGAGTTTGGAGGGGATGGTTTTGGCCAGGAGGGTAAGGAACCCATGGTCCACGTGGCCACCATGTCCACTTGCCCATGCAGTACCAGGAGGCTGAGCTGCTGAAGCATCTGGCAGAGAAGCGGGAGCATGAGCGGGAGGTCATCCAGAAGGCCATCGAGGAGAACAACAACTTCATCAAAATGGCCAAAGAGAAGTTGGCGCAGAAGATGGAGTCCAACAAGGAGAACCGCGAGGCCCATTTAGCGGCCATGCTGGAGCGCTTGCAGGAGAAGGTGAGAGCCCGACGAGGAGGGAGGGGGGATGCGCTGGGACACCGGTCCAGGAGGGTGTCACAGGACACCCGGGCACCCTGCATGGCTCTTGGGGTGGCATTACTCCCTGGGGACACCACCAAAGGGGGGGATCCCTCTTCCCCTCCCGCCGCGCAGCAATACCCAAATGCAACATCCCACCTCGGGTGGGGGGGTCCTACCTGGGGACCTACTGAGCCTGATGTGTCTGTAGGCTCACGAGCGGTTGGCGGGTGGAGACTGAGACCCATATCTCATCTGCAGGCATGCAAAGCCTTTGCTATCCCCATGTCCCACCGTGATGGCCTTGACCCACCGCTGGCAATTTTTCCACCTCCTGGGTGGCAGATCTTCCCCTGGTCCCTTCCCCAGAGGCCGTGGAGCCGTCAGCTCCCCGGCAGAGCTGGAGGGGTCCGTGCTGCCGTGCTAGGAGACGCTTCCACGCTGCCAGCCTGTGCAGACCTCTTCTCTCTCCCCGAAGCAGGTCTGTTCCCAACCTCA